AAATGAAATTTATTGCTTACAGTTCCAGAGGCTGGGAAGTCCACAGTCCAGGGAACACATCTGGTGATGGTGGTCTTTGGTGGTGGCTTTACAGCAATGCAGGGGTCTCACATGGTAGAAAATGGAGAAGCAGAGGAAGAGAGAGCCTCTCAAGTGCTCTCCTTTTAAAGTCCTCAGAACCACGCACCTGACCACCATTATTAATCCATTCACTACTGCACGGTCCTACAATCTAATCACCCCTCCAAGGCCCCAACTTTCAATTACCATAATACAACAGTTAGTGGGAATTAAGCTTCTAAAATATGAACTTTGGGGGACACAATTCAATCAATACTCAGCATTCCGCCCCTGGCCCCCAAAGTTCATGTCCTTCTCATAGGTAAATACATTCTTTTTTTTTTTAAAGAGATGACCGGTAAGGGGATCTTAACCCTTGACTTGGCGTTGTTGGCACCACGCTCTCCCAAGTGAGCAAACCGGCCATCCCTATGTAGGATCCGAACCTGTGGCCTTGGTGTTATCAGCACCGCACTCTCCCGAGTGAACCACAGGCCAGTCCTATAGGTAAATACTTTCATTCCGTCCCCAAAGTCTTTACCTATTTCAACACAAAATGTCCAAAGTCCCCTCTGTAAAATCAAAACAAGTTAGCTACTGCCAACATGCAATGGTGGACAAGCACAGAGTACACATTCCCATTCCAAAAGGGAGAAATAGGCCTAAAGAAAGGGGTAACAGGTCCCAAACACACCCAGAACCCAGCAGGGCAGGCATTAAATCTCAAATCTGGTTAATCACGTACCTTGACTCCATGTTTGATGTCCTCTGCACACTGGTGTGGAGGTTGGGTCCCCAAGTCCTCAGGCAACTCCACTCCTATGGCTTTCCTGGTGGAGGGAAAGTGAAGGAAAATGGTCAGGGCCCCTCAGATGTTCAGAATCCTGCCGAGCATTTGATACATAGGTGCACGTGTGCCCAGGTGTTCCTTGGTTATTGTCTAATGTAATTGCACATGTGCACCCAGCTGTCCTGGGTTATGGACTTATGTATAAAGGACAAGTGGCTCTGAGCCACAGTGCGCCCTGCCCCCAGGATGTCCTGCAGGGAGAAGGGGCCACGGGGAGGCCACTGTCAAGGAAGATGAAGACTGAGCTCATGTCATCTGCCAATAGCTCCCAGGATCTTTCCCAATTACCTAGCATGGACCTGCGTGTGAAAGGTCTGGTGACCCAGTCTGTACAAAAGGTTTGAAGGGTCTGTGGGCCCTGACCCCCAGCCCCGACAATACAAATGGAAAACTGAGCATAACTAAAATAATGAAACATTCTGGCTTTAATTATGAACTGTCTAGCCATACAGCTGGTGTAGCCACTTAGCAATACAATTGGCTACATCAGCAGGATTCCAACAATAACCTCAACCAGATAATTAGCATAGCTATTGCTGTAACCCCGTACCTGGTCTCAGGTGATGCTTTATCTCTTGCAGGCTGGCGTTGCATGCTGGTAGCTCTACAATTCTGGGGTCTCCGTGGTGGTCCTGTTCCCACAGCTCCACTAGGCATGGTCTTGGTGGGGTTTTTCTGCTCCAACTCCAACTCCCAAGCCTCCACAGCTCTGGCATTCTGCAAGCCTACAGACCTAATACCACATAGATAACGGCTTGTATTTTCCAAAGGTGCAGGTTCAGCCACACCTGGGGCCAATTTAGTCAGAGCTGGAGCAGCTGACGTAGCTGGGGTGCTGGTGCTGGAAGCAGCTTCCCGAAGTGGCCCTGAGCAGCGAGCCTGCAGAGGGTGCCTTGGGCCCGTTCCCCAAGACCATTCTGTCTCCCTAGGCCTCTGGGCCTGAAATGGAAGGGTTGGCCCCAGAGGCTTCTGCAGTGCCTTCAGGGCCTTTTCTCCTTTCTCTTGGTAATCCCTTTCTTTTGTACTAATCTTCTTAGCACCATTGCATTTTTCTCCTGAAAATGCTCTCTGCTTCTGTACCACATGGCCACGCTACAAATTTTCTAAATCTTTATGCTCTGCTTCTCTTTTAAGTTCTGGCTTTATGTCCTGCCTTTGCCGCCATAAATCAACACAGGCTGTTACAAGTAGCCATGCAGCTTCCTTAATGCTTTGCTCCTTAGAAATTTCTTCCACCAAATACCCTGTGTCAGCACCTTGAATTTCCACATTCCATAAAGCTTTTGGTCATGAAGAGAATGCAGCCAAATTCCTTGCCAGTTCATAGCAAGGGTGATCTTTGCCCCCGTTTCCAATAAATTCCTTGTTATTTCTATCTGAGATCTCCTTAGAATGGTTTTTACGGTCCATGTTTCCATAAGCGTTCTGCTCACCACCATTTAACTAGTCCCTAAAACATTCCAAACTTTCCCTGGTTTTTTTGTCTTCTAAGTTTTCACCAGCATCTAGGCTTTTTCTAGCCTGTTCCTCCAAATTCTTCCACCTTCTCCTCAACCCCCAGTTCCAATGCTGCTTTCACATTCTCAAGTATTTGTTATAAGCAACACCCCACTTCTCTGGTACCAGTTTTCTGTATTAGCCCATTTCTGTTGTGTATAACAAAATACCTGGAAGTAGGTAATTTGTTAGAAAATGAAATTTATTGCTTATAGTTTCTGAGGTAGGGAAAGTCCAAAGTCCAGGGAATACATCTGATGAAGGTCTTCCTTGGTGGTAGCTTTACAGCAATGCAGGGGTCTCACATGGCAGAGAGAGGGGTGGAGCAGAGAGAGAGACTAACGTCCTTATCAACTCTTTTTAAAACCACCAGAACCACTTTGACTACTTGATCACTCCATTCAGGAGGGCACAGTCCTCACAATCCAATCACCTCTCCAAGGTCCCACCTTTCTTTTTTTTTTTTTTTTTTAAAGATGACCGGTAAGGGGATCTCAACCCTTGGCTTGGTGTTGTCAGCACCACGCTCAGCCAGTGAGCAAACCGGCCATCCCTATACAGGATCCGAACCCGTGGCCTTGGTGTTATCAGCAGCGCACTCTCCCGAGTGAGCCACGGGCCGGCCCTAAAGGTCCCACCTTTCAACTACCACAATAGGATTTCCCACCCTGTTAACACTGTCACAGTGGGGACTGAGCCTCCAACACATTAAAGTTTTTTGGCGGGTACACAATTCAATCCATAACAAAGCCTGAGCTGGGAGAGGGATAAGGTTTGAGGAGGGGAGTGGGCAGAGCTGATGGCAGAGAAGGGCCAGAGGGACGTTTCTAAGATGCCAGGCTCTCTTCTTCCCTTCTTCCACCAGCCATACACACGCCACCTGCTGCCCAGTGCTGGTGTCACAGTCCTCCCTGCCAGCGTGCCCGGAGGTGGCAAGCAGTGGGGGAGTTTCTATAGAAAATTGACATGGGTGTGGGTGGAATGGGAGGAGGCTCCAGAAGGCTTAATTAGCTTTTCCCATTACTGTGGTACAGCATGTACACATAATGACACACACAAAGTGAGGGTGTACAGTGTACAGTGTGTGTTATCCATGTAGGTTGTACTCCAAGGCACATGATGTGTGTATGTCTGGCCTGTACACCTGTGTCGGGCATCTGTGTGTTATGATATGGGTCTTTCCATGCAATAAAGCAACAACTTCCTCTCCAGGATGGCGAGGATTGTCATGTGGTCCCTGGTGTCCTTCTGTTCACTCTTTGGAGCGTCCACCTGGGGCGCTGCCTATGAATCAGTTCTCCCCTTTCTGATAGCGTGAAGCCAGTTCTGTAGTCAGACAGTCCCTGGGAGCACTTCCAAGCACATGCTCACTTCTAGCTTGGACTAGTTACTTGAAGTCCTCTGAGTCTGTTTTTCATCCTGTTAAAGGGGAATGAAACCTACTGCATAGAATGGTGGTGAGTGTGAAGAGTGCCTATAAAGAGATTGACATAGCGCCTGGCGCATAGTAGGCGCCCAGTAAACAGCAGTGTGCATACACACACACACACGCATGTACATTCCAAATGCACTACTGCCTCACTGGGCAGCCCTGTAGCACATCTCCAAGGGCACCTTTGTGCAGAAGTGAATGGGGTCTGGACCCTGGGCTCCAGGGGGCTGAGCTTTGCAGTTTCATACACAAGCATATTCACTCATTTGTTTAACACTTGCTGAATGAGACCTGCTCCCACCAGCTGCGTGGAGGTGAAGACACAGATGCCGACATTGAAATGGACCTCCTACAGCACCCAGAGAGGTGGCACACGCATCTGCACACTAGCACCATACCAGCCCCTTGCCAACCTGCCAATTCCAGCCCTTATCAACTCAGACTGGTCAAGGTGGCCAGGGAGCATGTCTTCTTGGTAATTTTCCACAATCTGTGAAGCTGTGTCTCTCCTGTATATGAGGGCGGGGAGGGGGAGGAGGAAGCTGCTGTTCCTAAGATGTCCTTTCTGCCTTGTCCTTGTAAGGCTGCTTGGCTGAGGTTTGGGGTGGAGGGGTTGAAACTTGCAGCCTGTTCCTTGGATGGGGCTGAACTTGCCTGTAGGGTTATAATTAATCCGGCTTCACCACCACGGGCCTTAGAGAACGCCCTGCCTTGCCCAAGGCCCCAGGACAGTTTGGGTCTGACCTCTACAGCACCTAGCCCCAAGGCTACTGTTTATCAAGGTCCTTGCCTGGGAACTCCTTGAGAGCAGGGGCTGTGTCTTCCACAGGTCCAGGTTCCCAGCACCCAGCACAGGAGCAGGTAGGTGCTCATGAACTAAAATATACTGCGTTTAAATCGCACATCCAGAGGATGCGGAGGTGTATGCAATGGTGGTTACACTGTGGGCTGGGTGTGTGTGTGTGGGGGGGGGGGGGAGTGCTAACAGCCCATTTAAAAGTCAGGAAGAAATAAAAGGTGCTAAGGAGAAAGGAAGTAATAATTAACCTTGGCTTGGGCAGGGCAGGAAGGGCGGATCCGGGAAGGCCGGGAAGAGGAAGTGGCTTTTGATAGGACTGGGTCCTTGAGGGAAGACTTCGTGGTAGAGAAAGGAGGGGAGGGGAAACCCTGAGCAATGAGATCACTGGGGGACACTCACCCAGCTGTGGCCCCCGTGCCAAGGCCACCCACGCATGACCTCGTGTAGTCCTCTCAACAACGGGTGGTAAGATCAACCCATTTTACAGACGCGGAACCAGGTGCACGGATGCACGAGAAGGCACAGGGCCTCACCGGATCTGGGCCCGAGCTGGTCCCACCCTGGCCTCCGGTAAGAGTAATTCTCGGTGAGGGAAGAACACGAGGCAGACGTTCAGTCTTGCGCAAGCACGTGGGCGCCCACGGAGGGCCCAGCGCCGTGCGGGTCACGGGAGGGGAGAGGCACAGTCACGGGTGTAGGTCACGTCGGGGCTCATCGGCGACAGCGGGCTGGGGAGGACTGGCTGTTCCGGGCGGGCAGGAGGCTGCCGGGGTCCGCCTGGGGTTTGAGGAGAGAAGCTGCGCGTGATTGCGGTGCAGGACGCAGCTGCAGAGGGGCACTTCCGGTCGCTCTTAATGTTCGCAACGTCCCCGCCAGGTGCGCGCGCCCCCATTGAGTAGATGAGCAAACTGAGGACCCGCGGCCAGGCGGGTGGTTGAGCGTAAACGCCGAAGCCCAAGCGCTCTACGCGCACTCGATAGCGCCTGCGCCGGAGACTCGGCGGGGCGGGGCCTGGAGGGTGGGTGGGGTCCTGGGGCGCGGCGCGCGTCCTGGCCCCGCCCTCTCCGGGGCGGGGCCTCCGGTTACCAGGGGCTGTTGATTTCACACGGAACCGTCGCGCGGCGAGGGCGGGCTCGGGGGGACTGTCTTACGGCGGGATCCCCCCGGCCCCTCCAGGACGCCTGGCCCCGAGACCCCCTCGGGATCCGCCCGGCCCCTCCAGGACGCCTGGCCCCAGACCCCCTCGGGATCCCCCCGGCCCCTCCAGGACGCCTGTCCCCGAGACCCCCTCGGGATCCCCCCGGCCCCTCCAGGACGCCTGTCCCCAGACCCCCTCGGGATCCCCCCGGCCCCTCCAGGACGCCTGTCCCCAGACCCCCTCGGGATCCCCCCGGCCCCTCCAGGACGCCTGTCCCCAGACCCCCTCGGGATCCCCCCGGCCCCTCCAGGACGCCTGTCCCCAGACCCCCTCGGGATCCCCCCGGCCCCTCCAGGACGCCTGTCCCCAGACCCCCTCGGGATCCCCCCGGCCCCTCCAGGACGCCTGTCCCCAGACCCCCTCGGGATCCCCCCGGCCCCTCCAGGACGCCTGTCCCCAGACCCCCTCGGGATCCCCCCGGCCCCTCCAGGACGCCTGTCCCCAGACCCCCTCGGGATCCCCCCGGCCCCTCCAGGACGCCTGTCCCCAGACCCCCTCGGGATCCCCCCGGCCCCTCCAGGACGCCTGTCCCCAGACCCCCTCGGGATCCCCCCGGCCCCTCCAGGACGCCTGTCCCCAGACCCCCTCGGGATCCCCCCGGCCCCTCCAGGACGCCTGGCTCCAGACCCCCTCAGGATCCCCCCAGCCCCTCAGGCCGCATAGCTCCTGAGACCCTGTGGGAGTCCCCAAGCACCTCTGAAATCCTTGAACCCCCAAACCCTTCAGCATTTCTCCTGGATCCTGAGACCCCCTGAGGGCCTCAGCCACGTTTTCCTTTGAGACCCCAGAAAACCCTCAGTTCCAGAAACCCTCAAGATTCCCCCTCGCTCAGGACCCTCCGTCCTAGGCCTCCGCAGAATCCCGCTGGCCTGTGACCTATCCTGGGTGGAGGCCCTCAGTGCCATCCATGTGTCCTTAGCCCCCCAAGACCCCTGGAGTCCCCATCCCACCACCCTCAGCTTCCCTTTCTGCCTCTGTCTACTACCCACCCTGAGGCGTTCCGTGAACGCTGATCTCAGGACTGGATTTCTCAAACTTGAGATCAGTGGACCTGCGGGGCATCCATGAAAGTATTCCCGGGTTTGTGGGTTCTTAACCATAGTTTAACAGAAGTAGAAGCCTGTGACAGATCCTTTTAGGACCGCTTTAGAACCAAACACGGCCGGTGATTTCAGGGCCTGCACCTGCTTTGTGTTTACGATTGCATTGAGGCCAAAGCAGGGATAGTGTTTATCTTTTAGTGCTCTTTGGTGAGATTCATACGGCCCCACCAGACAGGTTAGAGAAGAGGAGATCTGATGTGGTGGAGGGAGGCAGAACTAAGTAGTGAAGGAATTTGGCAGATCAGGATGCTTTTAGGTTGTCTCATCTTAATTTTTTCACCATGTAACTAACATTTTTTTGAATGCTTGGTAAGCTCCAGGAATTGGCACTGGAGATAGAGATGACACAGTTCCTGCTGTCAGAGCCTCATTGGAGGAGGTGATTAAACAAGTAGGTCGTTTTTACATGGTGGTAACAGTGTAGTGGCGTTGAACCCTGCTGGGGTGGTGGTGGGATTGTCAGGAAGGGGTGTTAAAGAGGGCTTCTTGGAGGAGTCGGGGGGGGGGGAAGCTGATTCTTGAAGGTTGAGGCTGAGGAGTAGTTTGCCCAGGTTATTATAGGCAAATGGGACAGACAATATGTGAAAATGCGCACACCAGATTTTGGAAACCACGAGGTGTGGCTGGAGCATAGCTTCGTCCTGGGAAATGGGTGGGGGGGGGTGGGGGGGGTGGGTGTGGGGGGGGGGGGGGGGGGGGGGGGGGGTGGGGGGGGGGGGGGTTTTTGGGGGGGGCGGGGGGGGGGGGAAGCTGATTCTTGAAGGTTGAGGCTGAGGAGTAGTTTGCCCAGGTTATTATAGGCAAATGGGACAGACAATATGTGAAAATGCGCACACCAGATTTTGGAAACCACGAGGTGTGGCTGGAGCATAGCTTCGTCCTGGGAAATGGCTGGAGATGTGTTGTCTCCTTCAATGACAAGCATTCCAAGGGTGGCATGGGAAGGAGTCTTAAGTGGGGAGAACCCAGCTTTGCCCCCTGAGGCCCACCATGCCCTTGACTCTTTCTTAAGTTACTGTTTCTGCCATCACCCTGAGTAAATGATGGTCCAGCTGAGCTAAAGGAAGGTAGGAGTTGGTCAGTGGGAAGGAGTGAGGAAGTGTTCTGAGTAGAGAACAGAATGGGAGAAACTGGGAGTTTTGCAAAGTGCAGGGTTTGAGACTGGAGTGGCCGGAAGGAGGGCCTGAGAACCGAGTTAGGAGCTTCTGAAGCTGAGTAGAGGGTGAGGCACTTGAAGGCGGTGGGAAGCCATTGAAGGGTTTAAGGAGGAGAGTATTTGAACTGTCACTGTGGCTCTGGTGGGGAGACTTGTTTGGAGGAAGCAAGACCACATGAGAGATGGGGGTGACCTGGACCAAGGCAGTGGCAGTGGGGACCATGGTCAGCTGGAGTATGGCTAAACTTTTGAAAGTCCAGACCCAGAGACTGGTGTTCCAGTTCTTTCCTGTGCATGGGGACTGATATGGGAGCTTTTTAGGTGAGGTTTTGTCTTTTTACCCAGAGGGCACGTGGTTACCTTAGAGCTTCATCAGGCTGATGGTGTGTCTGTAAGCCTGACATCCACACAGAAGATGCACATATTACATGGTGGGACAGGGTAAGGAGAGGCTGGTCCTCAGCGATGGGCCAAGATCATGCTGCGCTTGGGGATCCCAAAGGAGATGGAGAGCCACTGGAAGAGAGACAAGTTCAGATGCGACGGAAATGTCAGTCTGGAGTCAGAATGGGACTAGAGGGGCTGAAACTGGAAGCAGGTGGCTTTAAGGCAATGGCAGATGGTGTGAATTAGAGATTTAGGAAGAAAAATCTACAGGACTTCTGTTTGTTGAGGTCTGGACTTAAGTGAGGGAGGGGGAGACTAGGATAATTCTGTACGACAGAACTTCATGTGATGATGGAATGTTCCATGTCTGTGTTGTCCAGTGCACTTAGAATGCGACTAGAAAATACGGTTAGTGTGATTGTGGAACAGAATTTTAGTTTTATGTAATTTAAATTCTCCATCACACACCTAGGGGATAGTGGGAAGCACACTGTTCCAGACTTTGCTCTTTTAAACTTAATGCTTCCAGCAACTGTAGGTGGTGTGCTATTCCTTTTTTACAGATAAAGGAAATAAAGGCCCAAAAAGAGTCAGTAGCCTGCCCGAGGCTTCTTCCTGCTGCCTCGTACGTTTTCCTAATGGAGACTATTTCTCTTAGCATTTCTGGGGAATGAATGGATTAAGAGAGCTGGTGAAACTGTAGATCTAACAGTGTGTCTTGTTATTTGTCAGCATTTGGTGGTCAAGAAGCAGAAACGAGTGCCTAAAGATGAGAAATGAGTACCTTAGACTTGGGGGTCACAGTGGACCAGGCGGTGCCTGGGAGAGTGGAAGAGTATGGGACATAAGCCAGGAGTGCGTTTATAGCTTGTCCCTAACTCCTTGGGGGACGTTGACCAAGTTGTTGCCTCTTAAGAGTCTCAATTTTCACTTCTGAAAAATTAGGGTATTTGGTATCACATAACCATTAAGATCTGTTCATCTCTAAAATTCTTTAATTTTATTAAGTATCAACAGAGGTTTACTTTCTAGAACATCCTATGTATCCTCTTGGGACTGATAGACGCTGGTGATCCGGCATGCCTTTGGCCTCAGCTTTGGTGTGTTTTACTATTATTGGCTTACCATTAAGCAACATCTCCTTGAGTTATGTTGTGTCACACCTGATGGACAAATTGTAAGACAGTGAATGCTTTAGCAGATGGCAGGGTTCCCGGTAATATAGCGGGTGTACTTGCTTGCCGTTGCAAGCTGCACTGATGTTGGGAGAAAAGGTGCAAGACTATTTACACCGTGGCCTCTTAAAAGGGTTCGGTGTCAGCCTTCTCTACGTGGAGGTAACAGCAACAGCCACTTCATAGGGTTATTGAGAGGATTAAATGAGGTAATGCATGTAAAGAGCTCAGCATTTTCCCTGGAATCTAATAAGGGCTCAAAAACTGGCAGCAATTAATGCTGCTTTTTGAATTAAACTGACCTTTCACTTTTCTATTTTTGGCAGCCGGCAGGTACAGGGCTCTAACCCTTGACCTTGGTGTTATCAGCACCACCCTCTAGCCAACTGAGAAACCAGCCAGTCCACCTTTCGCTTTTTGGTTTGAGCACATGTGCCCAAGCAACTCTGTTTGGAGGCACTAGTTTTAAAAAGCCAATTAACACAGTTTGGTCATTACAAAATAGGCATTTTTCCCCCATACAATCCATTGCAACTGGATAAAAAGTAATTGGTTAAGTAGCAAGTGTTCAAGTTAAGGCTTTGTATTTTCTGTAAATTGAAGAAAATTCATCGTGAAGACCCCTTATTACTATTAATGACTGAAATTGTTTTACCAGGACTACGGTTAAATTGGTACGTAGTTGTGGTGACTGCTTTGGAAGAGTGGTGCCGGACTTAAAGCCTGCTGGCGCTGGGGCAGTCCGTAGTAATGAGCATTTTACCGTGAGTGAGCACCTTTCGGACACTGCCTCACTCCATGTCTTTGCAGCAATCCAGTCAGCGATGTGGGTGGTGGAATCACCACTTGACAGAGTGGGAAACTGAGGTTTAGCGAGGTCTCCTGGCTGGGAAGTGATGGTGTTTCTCCGCCACGTCCCCTGTGCTGCTCTGGGTGGACTTACTGCATTTTCAGGGCTACACCTCCTTCTGGAACCTTAAGTTTTTGTCCATTCGTGCCTTGTTTCCTGTTCAGGTGAACCTAGTCATGCTAATCAAACTCACTAGAAATATAGCTGTCAACCAGAGCCCAGATGATTCCTTTGTGGTTAGAAATATGACTGCCAGATGTATGCGAAAACACTCTTGCTGCCTCCACGCTCTTCCCCAGTCCCCAGGCTGACATGAGAAACCAGGTTGCTATGAAAAAAGAAGTTTGTGAAAATCAGATCAGAGGAAAGGGCGAGGCTGGTTGTATTAATGACCAGTGCCAGGTCATGGAGCTTTAAGAGCTGCATGTCCTCATCTGCAGTGTTCCGAGGGGCTGGCTTTGCAAGACAGAGTTCTGAGAGGACAGACTTTGTTGTCAAAGCACTTGTCAAACCTTTGCTTGAGTCCCTTTTGCCGATATTCTCGTGGCCAAGAACGTCACATGACTAATCTCAGTCAGTGCGTGAGGAGACTGTACAAGCCTGTGGATACCAGGAGGCGTGATGGAAGTCATTAGGGATTGGGGAGGAGGCTGTGTTTTGCTGGCTGTACATAACAAGTTTAGTTTTTGTACTTGTATTTTGCATTGGACTCAGTTTGATGAACATTTAGTGCTGGGTGCTTGGATTTAAAGAATAAGGCAGTGTCCGGCTACTCCAGCTACTTCATAAAATACTCGTGATCTCGAATTCTAAGTAGAAAACATCCTTGTATGCCTTTTATTAATGGCTTTGGATAAAAAAGACAGGAACTGCTTATAAGAATCTGTGTTGGGGTCTGACTGTGCTTTGGGAAAATGCTGATAGGTCCTTGAAAAAAATGGGTTGCTATGATGACTTGGCTGTGGGCCTGCAAACTGTGGTGACGACAGAATCACCAGGGAAACCAAAAGATGCAGCGTCCTAAAGGCCTCTGAAGGGTTTTGTCACTGTCGTCTGGAATCTGATTGGCTTAGAAAAATGGTGTTTGAGATGGCAGTGGAACACCAGAGGCTTGCTGTCCTACCTACGAAACTTCTAGAATCGGGTACTAATTTCTTTGGAAATCTACTTGGACCTTGGTTTTAAAACAAGAGGAGGCTTGGGGCACTTTCTAGGTTATTGTGAGATTTAGCTCTGATGTTTATGCTGCTCAAAAACAGGAAATGAGGTAATGTCTTTAAACATGTGGTGAGTGTTACAGTGAACAGTAAATGTCTAAATATGGGCAGGTGTGCAGTTCATCATTGCAGAGTTACTGTGTTGAGTTTTAGTATAATTGGGTACTCCCCATGTTGGCAACTTTGATCCTTAAAGGTACATGTCACTGTTAAAGTCTAGAGACACATGTGCCTATTGAGGCTGGAACCTGTGTGATTGATTCTATTTGAAGTGCTGTCTGAAGAGCCAGCTCCAGACCTTCAAGTTCAAGCTGAGAAAGAGGCTTTGAGCACTTAAACCAGCAACAAACTGCCCAGGAGTGCAAGCTCTCACCTGTTGTGTAAGTGGTATTAATAGTGACGACTTATTCTTTTGAGAAACTTTGAAATCACTGAATTTTGGAGTTAAGTATCACCTGCAAGTTTACTTTGTTCATACTTTTTTGCATATATGTAAATATAATATTTGGGTTTTAAATTGTCACTATAATCATGCATATATGGAGCATCAAAAGCAATAGAACAATAATTGAAAGAACTAGAGATAGATTTTTAAAGTTCTTTATCATGGTTGACCAGTGACTAAAAATATTCCAAAATGTTGTTGTGTAGAGAAGGCTGAGATAAATGACTCCTTCCCACAGCCGGAAGAAGTAACTGTTTTGAAGCGGTGTGGATTCTTCTGGGGGGCAGGAGTGGCAGAGGCAAGTGGATTGGTCAGCAGATGAGCATCTCATGTTAACCTTTCAGCTAGGATTGAACAGGACTGGCTGCCCCGAGTTTGTCCTGCGGCGGGAGGTTAGGAAGGGAAGCGTGCATTTGGTGGGGGCAGTGGACTCACCGACAGGTCAGAGCCTGAGCTGCTTAACTCAGCAGTCTGAACTTCAGAGCACTTTCATGCAAGAGATTCCTGAGCCTTTGAAACTTGGCCAGTTAGCAAGAACCCGTGCTTTCTACTTGGTAAAACAGGATTGACGTCTGAGGGCTGGGGTCCAGGTTTGCTGACATAGTGGAGAGATTGTGTTATATAGTGGGGAACCTCAGTATTTGTTACGTTCCTTAGAAAATATCTAGTAGGTTTAAAAAAAAATTGACTTTCAATGACTGCTAGTAAGTCCAAAGTGGGATGGAGGACGGGAGCTAGGGCCGGGCACCAGCCCTGCCTCTGCCAGCCTTTCCCCTCGGCAGGTTGTAGCATCTGTGGGCCTCATCTTCCTCCCCTGTGGACTGTGGTTTCTTAGCATTTGGGGGAAGGTCACGGACACCTTTGGGAGTTTGATCAAAGCTATGAACCCTGTCCTCTGGGGAGAAAGTGTGTGTAAGCACTTACACAGTGTGTCCATTTTTCAGAGGGTAACATTAAGATTCCAGTTAGCTCTCTAACATAATGATGCTTATAGATTGAATAAGCCTTGTTTCCTTACCCTAGAAAATTAGTTTTGGTGGCCCGATTCTAATCGAGGTGAAAAAAAAGATTAGTCAGTGCTGGCTAGGACATGGCAAAGTGGGTGATTACGCATTCTGCTGAAGATTTTTCTGGAAAGCAGTTTGGCAGCGTGTGCTAAGATATTTTATAGTGCTCATATTCTTTAACTCAGCAATTCTTTTTTTTTTTTTTAAAGATGACCGGTAAGGGGATCTTAACCCTTGGCTTGGTGTTGTCAGCACCACACTCACCCAGTGAGCCAACCGGCCATCCCTATATGGGATCCGAACCCGGGGCCTTGGTGTTATCAGCACCGCACTCTCCCGAGTGAGCCATGGGCCGGCCCATAACTCAGCAATTCTGCTTCTCAGAAATCTCTCTTAAACAAATAATTTCAAAATAGATTAAAAAAAACTGTGCACCCAGTTGGCTGTCAGAGTGTTATTATACTAATGTCCTACATTAGGAATGTATTAATAAAATATAATTCTATATATGTAGCATTACACTTATATTTATGAATGGTTTTTTAATAACAGAAGGGAAATGCTTTTATTTTAATGCATGAAAAAAGTAGGATATGCACTGTGTTTTCAAATGATATAAAAATTTTAGAGTAAAAAAGAGTTATTGCTCATAGGTAGTAGGAGTATGGGCTATTTAAACTTTCTGTTTTTCTGTATTTTTTCTTGTTGTCTACAGTAAATATTATTTCTAGAATTGGGGGAGGCGGAAATGTGATTTTAGAAAAAATGTAGAATATGGGGATAGCTTGGTGATAGAGACCTAGCTGGTTTGAGATTCCTGTTTTTATTGACATTTCACTTTGATAATTATTTTGGGTTGGATTTGTGTTTGCCCGAGGGAAGGCCTGGCACCTCAGAAGTGGTGCTGGCCCTGAGATTTGTCCTGCCGGACCCCACTCTCAGTATACTTGGCATTTCACAGAGCATGGTGCTTCCTCTGAAAACCCACGTCTTGGCATTACTTTGTTATGTTCCTTGCCATTTCCCCCTTCTGTGATAAGTGATGTGTGTTCACATTGCCCAGAAGCTCTTCTAGAATGTTGTCCTGAAAGATGACAACCCCGCATGGAGCCCGCTGGGCTCACGCACGCCTGAGGAGTGACACCACATTCGGAGCAGTGGCTTAGGAAGCATTTTGTGTATGCTTTCTGTATACGACATTTTTCAGGCGTTCTAATTAAATAAAGATCCAGGATCTTTGATTTTAATTCCAGCCTTAACTCTCTTCCAGGATAGTAATAAAAGAACTTTTATCTGGGAAGTAGAAGTCACTTCTGACTAATTTTTCTCTTTAGGCTTTACAGATGGATTCAGTGGAAAAGACAACGAATAGAAGTGAACAAAATTCAAGGTAAATGACACCGGCTCGACCTTCAGGCAGGCGTGTTGATGTCACATGCCATCTGTCACGAGTCTGCTTGTATGGTATTCAGTACCTACCGAGGCGAAAGGGCACTAAATACCTGGGTCGAGAGGGAATCTCAAGGGCCATATACTACCCTTTGCCTCAACATGAGAAACATTCTAGAAGGCAGTTTTCTGCCCAAGAAAGCGACTGTTCGAGTCTCCAAACCAAGCAAACAAGTAATTAGAGGGGTCCACTTAAGATTGGAAGGGTCCGGGCCGGCCCGTGGCTCACTCAGGAGAGTGCGGTGCTGATAACACCAAGGCCCCGGGTTCGGATCCCATATAGGGATGGCCGGTTTGCTCACTGGCTGAGCGTGGTGCTGACAACACCAAGCCAAGGGTTGAGATCCCCTTACCGGTCATCTTTAAAAAAAAAAAAAAAAAAGACTGGAAGGGTCGCGCTCCACAGGAAAGAATTCTTTGACTGTAAATGGACAGTGGTGTATGCTTGTAAAGTGGTGCAAGACAGGGAGGTCCTTCCTGCAGACTGGGCTGGGGCTGATAGGTGGCAGAGCAGCAGCATTTTGCCAGGAAGTTTCTGATGTGCCAGTGCTAGCGGCGATTATTTTGTCAGTGTAGTTTGTATTTACAAGCTATTTGCAGCTTCAAAGGAATTAAAATTACTGAGCCTTTTTTTTTTTTTTTTTTTTTTTTTGGCATTTGGCCAGTTCAGGTATCCGACCCCTTGACCTTGATATTATAATACCTTGCTCTAACCAACTGAGCTAATTGGGCAGCCCTGCTGAGTTTTTTACTTACAAATATTTGTCACTTAAACATATGCTTAATGGGTGACTCAGGATGAAGGAGACACAGCTGGGCCAAGTCCTTTATGGAATGAGGGCAGATCATGTAAAATAAATACACAAAGAGGAATGCACAAGCTTTGTCTTCCAGTGGTATAAAGAGGGGACAAAACGTGTGTGTGGACAGTACAGACTGTATTTGACCTGAACTTCACAGGTATTTCCATACTGCGTGTTTGCAATATTTCTGTGTTGACTTTTATTCTCTTCCTCCTTGTTTTTAAGTAGAAAGTTTTTAAAAAGCCTTATCCGGAAACAACCCCAGGAACTGCTCCTGGTCGTGGGGACTGGAGTCAGCGCGGCAGTGGCCCCAGGAATCCCCGCCCTCTGCTCCTGGAGAAGCTGCATCGCGGCCATCATTGAGGCTGCAGAGGAGCTGGACGTCCTTCACCCAGGGGACATCGCCGAGTTCCGGAGGAAAGTGATGAAGGAGCAGGACCTGCTGGTTGTCGCTCATGATCTGATCCGGAAGATGTCACCTGTAAGTCTCAGACAAGTACTTCAGGTTTCACAGGGACACTTGGTTCTGGACCAGGTTGGGTGAATCTGTGGACCTAATGTTAAACTTCTACGCGCTTACGTTGTGTTCATTTGTCAGCAGTCGGGCTGATGAGCCAAAAATCTTTTAGTCCATCAGGATGTCATCTTTTAAACAGAGGTGATGTCAGGCACAGAATGGGGCTCCTCAAATAGTGCACATTAAATAGCGCCTCACTGTGTGAGATTGTCTTAGGGACATTGTCATGCTGCGTTGGGTGTGACCTTTGTGATTTATATTCATTTAGTGAAGGGGTATCCTTTAGGTATGTGTATTAGCCCGTTTCTGTTGCTTATAACAGAATACCTGAAACTGGGTAATTTATGAAGAAATGGAGTTTATTTCTTACAGTTTTCGAGGCTGGGAAGTCTACAGTCCAGAGGACACATCTGGTGAGGGCCGCTACCTTCTACAGGGAGGGAGGGTGTCACATGGCGAGAATGGGCTGAGCAAGAGAGAGCTAGCCTCTTCCCCTACCCTTTTAAAGCCATCAGAACAATGCTCATGACCACCCATTAGCCCACCACTGGATTAATCCCTTCACCTTGAGGGCAGTCTCATCACCTCTTAAATGTTCCATCTGTCCAATACCTTCATTGGATTTACCACCCTCATAATCCTGTTACAGTAGAGATCAAGCTTCCATTACATGACACTAAGTCACATTTAACCCATAGTGTTATGTTTTGGTTTAAGCAGGCCAGCCCTCAGAGATTCTTTCCTCAACCATGTCCAGTTTACTAATAAGGCCGTCAAAGGCATTCTTCATTTTTTTTTTTTTTTTTTGTCTTTTTTACTGACCAGTAATGGGATCGCAACCCTAGGTGTCGCGCCCGTACTGGGGACCGGCAACGGGATCGCAACCCTCGGTGTCGCTCCTGCACCGCGCTCAGCCAGTGAGCGGGAACTGGTCTCCACATGGGATCCGAACCCTCGGCAGGAGCGCCGCCGCACTCCCAAGCGGCGCACTCTCCAGTGCACCACCGGGCCGGCCCTAGAAAACATTTTAAGATGGGAGAAGTTATACCCTCTTTGTTCCACAGGTGGAAATGACCTGATGGAGAGGAAAAACAATCGGTGATGTAGGAGACAGTCACTGAGTTGGTGGGCTCTGGCACAGGTGTGGGAGCTTGGCCCACGGTAGGCACACACCCGGGTCACCACTGTCCCAGGTCAGCCACGGTGGACAGACGCAAATGCTGGGAAGCCAGACAATGTGGTAGAGGGTTTGGCAGGTTTCTTCTCATTACTTGTGTGCCTACTGAGGAAGCACGGTCATCACCTGAGAGTCAGGACAGGAGGAGATTTTAGAGGTTTGGACACAGGAGAAAGCTGGAAGAAAAGTATAAGATAGTCATCAGGGTGAGCAGGAGAGTTTAGGCTGCTGTAAAAAAGAGACCCAGAATTGCGTGGCTTCCATGCGATGAGGTTTATAATTCTCACATAGAAATCCAAGTAGGCAGCCCAAGGAGAGCATGGCCTGACAGTGTTGGGGACCTGGGCTCATGTCTTGTTGCTCTGCCATCTTCAACGAGCAGCTTCCAGCTCCCACTCTAAGGTGGCTGCCCCAGCTCCTGCCATAACACTGTGTATGTTCCAGCGAGTGGGAAGGGAGGGGACCTGGAGGGTCCTGCCTCACCCCTTCAGGGGCCTGCATGGGAGCCACCTCTCCCTCTGTACTGCTACCACTTCAGCTCTCATCTCACTGGCCGGAGTGTTAGGGCTGCACCTGGCTTCACCGGAGTCTGGGAGATGGTTTTGGTTAGGTCACTGTGCCAAACATAGGTGTTCTATTAATAAGAGACAACTATCATCGTTGGGCAGGGCTTGGCAAATTATAGTCCATGAGCCAAACCCACAGATGCTCAAATCCCTGGTATAAAATGGCATAGTGTTTGCGCATAACCTATACACATTCTCCTGGATATTTTATTTGTTTATTTAGTTTTTGGCATCTGGCTGGTACAGGGAACCAAACCCTTGACCTTGGTGTTATCAACACCACGCTCTAACCTAGCCAGCTGACCAGCCAGCCCTCCTCCCAAATACTTTCAATCATCTCTAGATTATTTATAATACCTAATACACCTAATACAATGTAAATGCTGTGTAAGTAGTTACTACACTGTATTGTTTTTTATTTGTATTGCATTGTAATTTTTTGTCCTACATTTTCCGTCACTAGTTGGTTGAGTCCACAGATGGGCACCAGTAGCTGTGGGAGCTCGGGCACAGAGGGCTGGATGGGAGGCCGGCTGTGAAGTTCTGTCGGCACCAGCCACGCCCTGCATTTATGTGTCGTATGTGGCTGCTGTCCTGTGGCAGAGCTGAGTAGTTGTGAGAGGGACCGTGTGGCCACAAGGCCTAAGATATTAGTGTCTGACTCTTCTTAGACAGTCGGCTGAACCCTGTGATGGGAAGAAGGGGGGAAGAATCAATGAGCCAGGGAAGTGTGGCGAGATTGCTGGCAGCACCGAGGGCCCACTCGAAATGAGGCCCTTGCTGTCACTCACTCGGAGGCGCGGGTGGGTAGATTGCTCATTGCTTAGGAGAGAGTATTTGGAGCGTCGTTCAGTTCTTCTCTTTACTATTGCGCAGCTTTGGAAACCTCCCTGGGGAAGAGTTAAGGAGAGGCCGGTGGGCACGGTGGCTGCCCCTGCGGTGTTCAGCACTTTGAGAACAGATGTGGAGGAAGCACAGAGTTGGCTCTATTGGGGAATTCAAATAATGCCTAAGAAGGGTGAGATGAGGTCTGGGCGGACCGTAGGCGTAGGGGGTTGCAGTGGGACAGGATCATTGGAGGGGAGTGACGGGCAGGAATTTAGAGGCCGTGTTACAGAAACGATCATCTAAGTGGAACATCTTAGTTGCAACAGAAGCACAGCTGAAGAGACGCGACAGGGACTAGGGGCCCCTCCATTTCATTGCTCCAAGGAGTGTGGGGGAGAGCCCCACGTGGGATGGCTTCAGGGACACAGAGAAATGGGTTTCTGTGGAGGAAGCAGGTGGCTGTTCACAGAAGAGGATGGAGATGTGGCAGTTTGCTGCTGGCAGACCCACTGGGAATAGTAGAAGGCTTTTCAGAAATGGAGAGGGGTGGGAGAGTGTCGGGGAGGGGTGTGCCCAGAGCCATGGGGATGAGTGGCAATCTGTGAGTCTTGGCAGGGACAGAGGCGTGGCGGGATGGAATCTGGTGACAGCTGCCGAGGCAGGCAGTGGTGGCGGGCCCCAGTGCCAGGCGAGGCTGGTCTTCTGGGAGTGCTGAGACCACCTGACCCTGCATCCTCCCCGCTCCCTCCCCCACTTCTCACAGCCACCAAACAGCAGAACCCTTTACAGAGCTGTGGCATTTACTGTCGCCAGCTTCTTTCTTCTCTTGCACCCCTCAGCCAGACTTTTGCCCCCACTGCTCCACTGAGGCAACCTTGTCAAAGCCACTGACGACCATTGGTACTGTGAGGGTACTTCAGAAAGTTCCTGGCAGAGTTCATATTATCTTTTAATTCTATTTTTCCACAAACTTTTCGAAGTACCCTCATACATCCAGAGGCCGGGTCTCAGTCCTAATCCTGTGGAATCTCTCAGCGGTATATGAGACATTGTCCCTCACCCAAGTTAAGACACCATTGAGATACCCTATTTCACATTCTGCTGAGAAAAAGAAAAGCAGTACCTTTGCAGCTCTCTGAGGGGAAAGCCAGAGTCTTCACGTGGTCTTCAGGGCCCCACGCAATCCCGTTCTGGCTCAACTCTCTGACCGCCCCGCCACCTGGCTCGCTGCTGACGCTCGGGCCGCCTGTGCTGTTACCTCAGTGCCTTTGCACATGCTCTCCCCAAGCTCAGCCACTCTCTGCAGAAGCCTCACTTCCTCAGCTTCCTGCTCAAATGCCCCCTTATCAGAGAGGCCTCCCTGGTGCTCTTCACTTGTCCACCCCTCGCTCCCAGCAGAACCTTTCCACTTTCTCTGCTTTACTTTTCCCGTGGCATTTATCACTGCTGACATATTACAAATTTGTACGTTAACTGTCCCCCTCCTGTAGTTTTAATAAACTCTATGAGGCCAGATTGCCTGTCTGTCATTTTTTATTTTTTTAAACTGCTATATCTCCAGCACCCAGAATAGTACCTGCTTAGGGGCTCAGTAGTTGTTGAGAGCTGATGTTTTTTGTGACTCTCGCTCCACCTTTCCATAGCGTACAGGCGACACCAAGCCCAACTTCTTCCAGGACTGCCTGATGGAGATTTTTGACAACCTGGAGCAGCACATCCAGAACCCTCTGGTGCTGCAGTCGATCCTTAGCCTGATGGAAAGGGGCACCATGGTCCTGACCACCAACTACGACAACCTGCTGGAAATCTTCGGCCAGCAACAGAACAAGCCCATGGAGTCTCTGGACTTGAAGGACAAGACTAAGGTCTGGGCTGCCGGGCAGGTGGCAGATGGAGGGCACAAGTCTGTGCATGTGCAGGGCTTGCATTTAGAAGCAGCTGTCACTTTACAGCACTGAGTTAGTAGTAAGGAAAAGTCGCTAGCTGGCAGCCCTCGGATGCCACGCTCCACGGCAAACGCGACACTAAGTCAGTCTTAAATGCCTTCCTGCCTCTTCCCTGGGGGCTGCTGGGCACAGGGAAGGTGCTGCCCTGCGTGTCTCTGAACTACCCGTGGCCTGCTTTTGTGTCCTCTGTGTTCTGTCCCGTAGTCTGCAAGACTTTCTCATCTGCATTTACTCACTATAGTCGTTGTAGGAAATATGGTAATAAAGAAAAAACTAAAAGCAAAATCACTTACAGTCTTATTTGCTGTGAAGTTTTTCTTGAACAAACCGGGATTGCAAAGTTTTTAATTGATTTTTTTCCTTATTATTATACTGTGAGCATTTCCCTGTCATTAAGCTGTTTTTAAAAGGGAATTTTAAATGGCAATAGGACTGTAAGAGTAAATTGTCATTGTTGTCCTTCCTCTGTTACCATTAGCATATTTTTACAATTATAAATAATGCTACAATTAAAATCTTTTATTTATTTTTATTTTTATTTTTTTTCCTTTTTGTCTCCTTTTTCGTGACCGGCAATGGATCGCAACCCTCGGTGTTGCACCAGCACCTCGCTCAGCCAGTGAGCGGCCAGTCTGTATGTGGGATCCGAACCCTCGTTGGGAGCACCGCCGCGCCGCCGCGCTCCCAAGTGGCGCACTGTAGCAGTGCGCCACCAGGCTGGCCCCCAATTAAAATCTTTTATACTTTTATGTCCCACTATTTATTTCTTCAGAATAAGTTCCTAGAAGTGTTTCCAGGTCAAAGGGTATGAATATTTTAAGGAGTGGTGATATAAATTACCAAATTGTTTTTCAGAAACATTCCCAGGTCTACTCCCACCAGCTGTGTATGGGAGTACCCATTCCCAGTGTCCTGCCAACTTGTGGGGTTATTAAAAAACAAAGCAAAATACACTTTACCCACTTAATAGGTGAAAATTTTAAATTTTTATTTATTTTATTTCTAAGGTTGAACATAGTTTTATTTTATTGACTTTATTTTGTGACATGTTTGTGTCCTTTGTGTATTTGCTTATACTGTTATTAATACATGACATTGTTACCTTTGTTATCTGGTTCACCCCGTGAGGGAAGCTCTTAGTCCTGCTAAGCTCAAGCATGTTGGAGACGTCTCATGCGGGCGCGCAGTGAGTGTGAGGGCCGGGCTTAGCTCCAGCCCCATGCACACGTTCCTCTGTGGCAGCTCCTCTAGCAGAGCTGGCCAAGGGCACAGGCTCCGTGACAGAGGCACACATGGGGGCAGTCCTCATGTGGAGCGGCGCCCTCTTGTGAGCCATCAGTGACACCTGACAACACCTGTCTAGTGTCTGAGCAGCATTGTCCTGCTGAGCCTTGCTTCCTGCTGTAGTAGTGTCTCTGGAAATGAATTGCTAATTGCATAGAACAGAAGCTCCAGCTGGCCCATCTACCCATGTGACATCGGCAGAGCTGTTGGTGTTTGTGTCCACACCTCCTGCTGATGCGAAAGCCCCGGCATAAAGATAGGATTAGACGAACATGATGTGCATCTTCGTGAGGGCCTTTGTTATGTGTCTTTCTTTTTCTTTTATTATTATTATTATTATTATCTTTTTTTTTTTTTGGTGGCTGGCTGGTAGGGGGATCCGAACCCTCGACCCTCGTGTTATAACACTGTGCTATAACCAACTGAGCTAACCGGCCAGCCTTGTTCTGTGTCTTGAACTGAAATGACTGTAGTTGGCCATCTGATAAATACTTTTTTCACATATTTTTTTGCTGGGTGTAAAAATAATACATAAATAGCAGTAATTAAAATATAACATGTAACTTAGAAGTGAAAGTTCCTATAAAATCCCTAAAGTAATCACCTAACAGTTTGCTATAATCTCATATATTAAAATATTTTGTATGTTACTATCTGTCTTTAAAGTACTTTTAGATATGATAGGAATAACGAGTGCTAACAGCTGAGTTTCTCTTATGTTTTAAAGATATAATCATAAGTTGAAACATCTCTCTTACTCTTTCCAAGGTAGGTTTGAAAAACCATGAATCTGATTTAGGTATTTTCTTTTTATATCTGTTGGAAGTAACATGAGGGGCTTTTTTTGTTCGTCTTGACTTGATGTTTGGCAGGTCCTTCAGTGGGCAAGAGGACACATCAGATATGGAGTCCTTCACATTCACGGCTTGTACACAGACCCCTGTGGGATGGTGCTGGATCCATCAGGATATAAAGATGTCACTCAAGACCCAGAAGTAATGGTATGGTCTGTCTTAGTTAGGCATTGGCTGCGTCCCCCAGGGAATTTGTGGTGGTCACTAGCCATTTGGCTGCATCTGAGTGGTCCCCCAGACTCCCAGCCTCCCTGTCCTTCGGTTTGGCCTCCACATGGCTGTGGGGACGCTGTGTCTCCAGTGCCTGGCTCGGTGCTTGCACATTGAGTACATGTTCGGTGAACATTTGTTCAAGGAGTCGGTGCATCACGCTCTCCATGCCAGTACCAGCCCACAGTGGTTTCTCTTGCCCAGGGACCCAGTGAAACTCTTCAGCATGACAAACAGGGCCCTGCAGGGTCTGGAATGTTCTCCAGTTACTCCTTCCCACTCGTCAGTTCTCTTTGTTCATTTGGGCCACTTCCTGTCTGACATTCTCTCCTCCCCTTCCTCAACGGGAGCAATCTCTTCGGCGTTTTTTTTTTTTTTTTTTTTTTTTTTTTTTTTCCTGTAGCTTTCGGAACCTTTTTTTTTTTTTTTTTTTTTTTCCTATTACCTAGCTCACAGACCT